CTGGGATCATGCGAGAGCTTCGCATAACATTGAGGGAACGAACAGTACTCTGGCTCAGACCTTTTTGTGTCGTCATTGTTCTAGGCCTCGAAGGAACCCAGAAGTTAGCCTTGGGGATCTTCGCAGCATGCACGGCTTCCAAATATCTCTCGATCTCCTATTTATCTGCGGTAAATCTAAGAATACTGGTGCAGGAAATACGTTACCACATGAACAATCAAGATCGCTCGGATCGAAAGATGGATGGGCACTTTCTGAAATTCTTCATTCAGAAGACATGCTTATCAAACAAGTATGGAATGATTCAAAGAGAGAAAGAGACAAGATTCTACTATTCACCTTCGGACTTTTGGTCGTTAAACTTCTACCTAATTCTACCAAACTTGCCAAACAAGTTCAAACCACTCGCAAGAACTCTACAAATCTTAGAGGCTGGGGGGCTAACAGTTGGGGTCAAAATCGGTTACGACAGAATCAACGACCAAAATTTTCTGCAAAATTAAGAATAGGTTTCAGTAATACAAAAAAAGCTCCGAGAAGAAATAAGGACTTTCCGAACAAAGGAATTCCGTAGACTTAACAATCTTCATCTCGAAAATGATCAGAATTCTGAATAAAAAAATCTGTGATTGTCCAAATTGGCCAAATTAGCAAAACACGGCCGTAAGTCAAACTCCCCAAAATGTAAAGCCGTTATTAAGGTCGAAAATGATAACTTTGAGGTCAAACGTCTACGATTATTTCTCATTATACTCTCTGAGAGGATCTCGGGTCTTAGAAAACGAGAAACGATCGAAACCAAAAAAAATGTTGGCGAGCTGGCTGTGCTTGACCAGCTCGCATGTTGGCGAACTGGACTGGACGGTTCAGCTCGCCTGTTGGCAAGCTGGACTAAACCATCCATGCCCCTCGACTTGATCGTACTCTGAACTGTGATCGTAACGTCTCTCATTTCGTCTCGATCCGTCTTATCGTTGGAGACTTATGATGAAAACCATAAAAGACTTGTTTTCTCGTAAAACCTCAAGTAAATCGTATAAAACGGAAACGGTTAAACGAAACACCGAACATTGCCAAACTATACGATTAACTCGAGATATTTTATAAAAAACCGCTAGAGACTTGTTTTCTCAGAAAAACCTCGAGTAAATCGTATAAAACGGCAACAGTAAAACAAAACACCGTACATTGCCAAAATATATGATTAACTCGAGATGTTTTATAAAAACGGCATTGTATCAAGAAACGATCTCATCTAAAGTCGTAAAACGACTAAATCGCAAAACGGCTCGGAAAGTTGTAAAACGCGAGAAAATCCCACTCACGACTTTAGATAAGATCCAGCCCAAAGATATGATGATGGCTTACCCATTATTCGCAGAAGTGGGAAAATGTCAAGTTTGAAGATAAAATAGAAGTTTTTCGAAGAAAAAAGGAAAGATCATGAAAAATGGAAGATTTCCGATAAGTACAAATCGGAGCGGAAAAGGAAAGACCAACCGCCTAGAGAAGAAGTATATAAGCAGAAGGTCAAGGAGAAGAAAGGGGGGCAGTTTTTTCAGAGCTCTCATCTCACAGAAAAACTTAGAGCATTTAAGCAATTTTCCGTTTTTGTTATCGAGCTACGTCTCAACTAGGGTTTTAGTCTTAGGTTGCTAGAACTAGGAAACTCTCCGTCGCTCTTGTAGCCAAGGCTTTCACCTCGTTGTACCGTTCTTACGCAAAATTGGAATAAGAAACCTCTTTGCTCTCCTTTCGATTCTCATATTGTTTATTATATTTCTCTTTTTTTGATTGCTTGCATGTGCTTAAGCAGATAGCCGGGATCTTTAGGAAAGTTAGGTTAACTTAACGTTCTCTAATTTACGAAAATCGACAGTGTGAATTTCGGTTCCCACACAAACAATTTACAAAGAAAACCTTAATCTAACTTGCCATCAAAATAAAAAATAAATAAAATTAAATAAAAGAATTACAAAAAAAAAAGAACAAAATAAGAAGGTTATTGTTTTATCGGGGTATCCCTCTTGCAAAGAGACATGAAACCAAAGTTGGAGAATCTCTAATTGAAAATCACTGTCATCCCTATCCCACTCCTCCATCATAAACCCCTTCGATTTTTTCATTTCGTCTGTCACAGCCGCTTTGATTTTGGAATCTCTGTACATGAGGAACCCTAGGAAATGCTTGTCTTCGTTTTTGAATCGACAAAACTGAACCTGTAAGTACTAAATATATCTAATTCCAAGTTGTTTCTACACATTGTTAACATATATTGCTTGATTGAATTCAAAATTTCGAAAACCCTAGATCTTAATTTACTTCTCCTTCAACTTTAAAATCTACTGACTTGTTTTTTTCCAGTAAGTTTGGTAATGGAAGGTTGTTTTATTATTTTTTAAAAAATTATTGCTTGATTGCATGTTAATTTTGAAAACCTTAAATCCCAATTTCAATACTCTTTCGATTTCAAGACTGGTTCTTTTTCGGTAAGTCTTTTTATGAAATATTGTTTGATTCTTGTTTTATTGATTGTGAAAGTTTTTAGATTGAAAGTGTGTAGACTCTATTGAAAGTTTGAAAGATTATTTGATTCTTGTTTTATGCGATTAGTTTAACTTGGATTTTTTGCTATGTAGACAAGCAAATAACTTGTGAAGTACTTTATTTTTTAGGTATGGTTTCTTCTTCGAATATGAGAAAGTATTCTAATCATCTTTACAAGGTTGGAAAACCCCCAATTCAGAATAGGAGCATGTAAGCATAGCTGTTTTCTTTTCATTGTTCAAACGATTGAAGAATTTGTTGGGGAAGATGTTTGGAATGAGCTTAGGGAATCAGCTATTGGAATCATTGTGAAGCTGAAAGAGTTGAGATATATTTGGTCTGCAAAAGTTGTTCATTATTTACTTACCAGTCAATTGTGATAGATTGTATGCCATTACGGTTCTCTCTGTATGAGTTTGGAGAGATTAGAGGTCTAAATTTTGATGCTTTGGACAAATATGACGTGTGGGATGTGTATCATTGAGACTTTTGGCTTGAAATGAAAGTTTCAACATCAGAAGGACCTACATTGAAAGAGTTACAAACCATATTTCCGATTTGCAGAAACTGGTCTCGAGAGAAACGAGTGATGGTCGGTTTATTGGGTTTGTTATGCATTGGCATATTTGGCATTTCAAGCAACAGCCGCATTCTTTGCATTGTGCTAAAACGGTGATGGACACTGCAACTTTCCAGCAATATACATGGGGTCGGATGGATTGGATTTCGAAGTCTTGTTGTCTCCATTAAAGTAGTTACATATCAAGGAAAGATGAGCTACACAGTTCACGGCTGTGTTCACTCGCTCTTAATATGGATTTATGAGTCTGTCCCTGGTATAGGAGAAAATATGGGAATCAGATAAAGAGAGCTGATGTTCCTCTTCTCTCATGGTGGGGATCTTGTACCCGTATCAACTTCTTAGATTCCTATGATCAAGAAAAGAGACAGTATCAGAAGGTATAAACATAAGTTGTATTTCGTCTATTTAATTTTAGTATGTCTTACTAATCTTGTATATTATTTTACAGGTTCACGTGGTACGTTGGGAATTCAACAGTGAAGCGTATAATAAATGGTGTCAATATTACCAAGAAGGCGTATGACCCTTTAGCTAAAGTCGAGGCAGGAAAACTGCAGAAGTTTTGGACTTCATTAAGCAAGATTTGTAAATTTTCTCGAATCCATCTTGTCTTCTTCCTAAGATATGGTGCTTCAATGCTTTGTTTTCCCATTTAGGGACCAAGACGAAATTAGCTACAGAGACAATAGCGCTCTGTTTTACTTTAAGCTAATGGTCACAAGAAAAGCGTGGCCAACACACAAGCACGTCTGGCTGTATGATTCAGTGAGTTTTTCTTTTCTTATTATGGGCTTCACAAGATTAATAGCTTAGTTTTAAGAAACGGTTTTTGTTTTTACAACACATGGCCGCAGCAATGCTCATGTTTCACAGATGTTCCATGCAATCCACATCTCCATATTCTCCTCTCGAATTGCATTTCTAGATTGGTGGTTTGCGAACTCATAGGTTAATGACTACAAAATATGGTCAAGGATGCAAGCCAATTTTCTTATCAGATATGTACAGCAATTCTTCAGTGGAGAATACTCGGAGAAGTTTGTGAGAGGTAAAAAGTTCTTTACAGATGTCGATAGATTGTTCCTCTGCCAACTTATTAACAAAAACCACTGGGTGGCCCTACACATTGATTTTCTGAAGTTGACGGTCCATGTATATGATTGTATTCAGAGTGTGGTGGAGGATGAAAATAAGCTGCATGAGGATGCAAAGCATTCACAAAAATAATTCAACTAGTTCTTAACAAGATGGTGCCTCCTAAAAGCGAAAGAAGAATAAGAAGCAGTTCTCCTTACGTAGGCACAAGAATGCCCCTCCAAACGAGGACCCGGGAGATTGTGGTGCGTACTCTTTGAAGTACATTGAGTGTCTGGCAAGTGGAAGTACATTTGACAGCTTAAGTGATCAGATCATATCGGCTCTACGAATGAGTTGGCAGCCAACATCTTTGAAGAGGTCAGGGAGGTTGTTGCAGATGAATGAAGAGGTTGCAGAGGTTATTGTGTTGGATTATGATATTTCAACTGCTCTAGGACATGTAACTTGGATGATTTTATTTTAGTAAGTGTGGTAGTACGTTTAGCTTGGATGGATGTATAACTTGGTAGGTTTTTCTTTGTTACTTTGGTATCTATGTGGTTTCTTATGTATATATAGGCTCGGTTGTTGTGGTTTCCATGTGGTTTGTTATGTGTATATAGGCTTGGTTGTTGTGGTTTCCATGTGCTTCTTTGATATATATAGATTCGCTGGTTATGGTTTCTATATGGTTTTAAATATAAATGCTTATTTGCAAAGCCTGAAACTTGATTGAAACCACGAGCCTAAACTAGATCACAAATAAACTAATGACCAAAGCATGAAAGTGAATGAAATTCAATGTAACACCAAAGACAGTTGACCAAAGCATGAAAGTAATTGAAATGTAATGTAACGCCAAAGACAAATGACGAAAGTGTAAAGGTAAATACTACCAAAATCTAATGAGTAGAGCATGAAACTAAATCAAATACTCATCACTTAAAAGGGCATGTTTTAGAATTATGTCTCGTCTGGTCACAAAATCTACATGTGTGTTCCTTCCTTGGTCGCTTCTTCTCTGCAAGTTTCTCCAAAATAGATTTGTCTTGATTTTTTTGGTCTTCCAGGTAGTTGGCAGACATCAAGTGGCAAACATATTTTATTTGTAACTTCATTTGGAATTGGAACAATATCATCTTTGAGCATAACATCATTGAAATATGTGTTGTAAAGGTACTGCTTCCTATTGTAATGGGGACAAAGTGATATACATGATATCTTTCTTGCTTCCGCAGCAGCTATAGGATGAGCACATGGTAGCTTCTCCAAATCAAATCTACAGCAAGAGCATGTCTTCTCGGTCAGATTTACAACATGTAAAGATGAGACTCTCATCACTTGTGATTGATGAATGTCAATTGCTTGAACCTTTAAAAGATTAGCAATAGGTATACGGTCCTGCAAATGGTAAAGTTTAGTATATTAGAAAACAGTTCTCTAAACCAAGAGTAAATTGCTTGAACCTTTAAACGATTAGCAATAGGCATACGGCCCTGCAAATGGTAAAGTTTAGTATATCCATGTAACAGACTATCGTTTCTTACTTTGACAGGAGGTGTCTCTATGTTTTCCTTAAATAGATTATGTTTAGAAAAAAAATACGCCAGCTCTAACTCGTGATCTGCGAAATCAACTCTGTAATCTTGATATATGATTTTCATAAAATCTTCATATCTAGGTTCCTCGTTATCTCTGAATAATTTAATACTTTGCTCATTGTCCACTTCAAATAACCACTTATTCCCTTAAAATTTTCATTTCCCACTAGAAATAAACCAAACTCAGAATTTCAGTAAACCGGGTTAATTCTGAAATAATTTAGTTTGGTTTACTAAAACCTAGAATTCAGTCAATAAATCAGCCACTCGTAAACTAAAAAGTATGCCATCTCGTAAATCAAAAAGTCTGGCGCATATGTAAATCAGCTATATAACTCCATCATACGAAACTAAATTGATCTCAAAAATCTATTATTTATCACAAATGTGTTGTGTCATTCGACAAACATATTTCGAAAATCGGTTTTCTATACAAATCTGACAAAATAAGTGTACCGTAGAAACAATTCTGATGTTTTAAAGAAAATATGCCACCACTTTTATGATAGATTATATTTTCTTATCCGGTTTAGTAAACAAACTTAATGTTTGATAGATTTATTTTTGAAAAAATAAATCTGCTGACAACCTAATTGTAAGGGCATTGGTAATTATTTCTTTGGAATAACTATAGATAAGGAAAATTTGACCAAAAAACATTCTAATAATTTTTTTAAAAATATGAGTCATTCTAATAATAACACAATTAATTATAATCATTTTAGAAATTTTCCCTAAACTAAATACAGATGTTATATATACAGTACAATACGTCATCGTTAGTTGTAAATTAATTAATACATAAGATTCTTGAATTCCAATAAGTTAAAATTTACTTGAAGTCTAAAATAGTATAACACTAGGTTAAGATTTGCGCTTTGCGGAAGAAAATAATATTGTAATTTTTTGTAACGTTGTGTGTGTGTGTGCAGGAAGAAAATTATATTATAACTTTTCGTAACGTTGTTTGTGTGTGTGTTAAAACACTAAACCCTAAAACTCAATCACTAAACTCAAACTCAAATATATACTATAATATATATTTAAAATACTTTAAATAAATTAAAATCTGAAGATAGTATATAATATTTAATAATACTAAACTATACAATATAAAAATGAAAATTACAATAGACTTATAAACTGAAATCATTGATGTTTTCACTAATAGGATAACATAAAGCTGATCCATTTCCATAACTAAGCAGCCCGTTCCTGGATAAGGAATATCACCAACAAACCAATCAAAACAGAAACACACAAGCGACATACGCATAAAAACATGCATAAGTTCGATACTACGCAATTAGAAGTCTGTACTATGTATTCTATCTATATTGTATACAAATAGATCTATACACGAACCTTGGTACTCAAAATGGAATATAAACAAAATCGTAATCGAAACATAAACACATAAATCACCGTTGCATATAGACATTCATAGATTCCATATTATGTGTATTAAGTCCATACTATGTTGGTGGTCTACTCTATGTACAAATACATGTAATCTACTCTATTTACAAATAGATCTAAAGTAACTTAGTCATCAGTACATTTGAGTTAAGCTATTATATTTGCAGACTTATGCATATGGAATTACATGAAGGAAGGAATATAAACAAGCATAATATACATAAAGCAAAAACTTGCAAGACATGTGTTTACAGAACCTGATTGCGACATGCAAATCATATATGATTGCAGAATTGGAGCATATGATTGCGTTAACATTCGTAAACTATATAATTCATGTATAAAAATTTATTTATCTAAATTTTTTATATACAGTAATTTAAAAATTGCTATCTAACGTTTTAAATTACGGGTTATGGTCATAATAAATATAAACAAAATAACTTTCAAATATGTTATTTTATACATAAGAAATTTGTTTAATAATCAAACGCAAATTCAGTAAGAAAATATATAATAAGAAGAAACATATAAATGTGATGATTTGAATTTATAGCATTAAAACTGTGAAATGATTGTATTTGAAATAATTATACAAATATTTTAATATGTAAGTAACATTAACAATGTATATTTTGATCCGTAAAACAAATATTTATATATAAACATAAAAATATATACCCGCACGGTTTTGCGGGTCGAAATCTAGTTTATGGCTAAACTTGTAGAAACTATACCGACATACATTAAACCTTGCTTCTTAAAACTAGAATGATTGTCATATGTTACAATGAAATATGATCTATCAGCATCATAAAGTTGATAGGAGAGAAAGAAAACAGATAAGTAAACCTTTTGAATGATTTCAATTATTAATGTAACCCCCTGTACTTTGTCTCTCAAACTGCTAGGCTCATGTTGTAAAAGAAAACAGCTTGTTGTGTGTCTGTCTACCTTTTTTCTCTTTGGTGTTATTGCTAATGATGCTAAGATTTCGATGCAGGATGATTATAAAGAAGTCTATTTTTTTCTGACTGATGATTATTATAGATATTTGGGAATTTCCTCTAACCTTTATGTTTTCTATCTTCTTCTCCCTTTTGGTTAGATATTAATCTCTTCATCTAGGTAACTGTCGAAATCTCCTTCCCAGAAAGGGAAGAAAAAGGACTCTCTGGTAGGTTCAAGACTTGGTTGTCCAAAGGATCACAATGGATTCTCCTGAAAAAAAGAAAAAAAAACATCATATGATCAATCAAATAAAGAGGAAAGGTCTAACTGTGTGTTATGTTAAGGTCTTATTCATTGCGTACCGATCAGTGTCTATGTAGGTTGTGGTTATGTTCATCACATTTTCTTCAGTGTTCAAATAGTCCAGCAGATAGCTCAACCGTCCTACTTGTTCCTCTTGCTCCGCTATAAATTAAGAATTTCAGGCAATTGAATCCATATTTTCTGAAATGGAAGTAAGAATATATTTACCATCTGATGTTGGCTTGAAGTCATCAGAGAAGCCAAGATAAGAGTAATTGGTAGGTAAAGACTTCGAAACTGATTGCTCATGTTCCTCAAGAAACTGCTTCCTCATTAGTCTTGAGCTCTCGCTAACTCGTGGTGGCACTTAAGACACCAACGAAAAACAGTTAAATAAAACGAGAAAACCAAATGTTCGTGCAAAATAATTTGAGTTTAATAGCTACTAACATGTGTTCATCTCCAAGTCTCTGTCAATGTATTTAGAGCCATACCGCATCCTGTGAAGAGGCTTGTTGTTGTCAAGGTATCGACTAGAGCGTGATTTTTCCCGATAAGGCTTGACGAGAACACGAGCCCCACATATGAAATGAGGATTGCCTTTAGCAAGAACGAGTTTGACGCTTTCTGTGTAAACAAATGTTACAAATCCAAACATTCTCTTCTGCTGACAAGGAATCCTCACATCTTCAACATGTCCGAATTTGGAGAAGTAGTTTGAGACATCATGTTCAGTGAAACTACTCTCGGCGGGAAAGGTCAAGTAAATCTGCCTGGAACCAGCAAGGATGGCTCCATGTTCGTTTCTCTCTCCCATGCATTCCACAAACTTCGATACATCTTCTGCTAATATGACCGAATGCTGGCCATGAGGCCTGAAGATTAAGATAGCATTTGCTAAGAAAGATTAGCAACGAAACAAAACTTTATATGAGCCTGAAAACTCGCCATATAACTAACTAACCACCAAACCTGTCGATGAGGCTGATGGTGTTGTTCAAGCGAGCAAGAAGCTTTGTGAGGCTATAGCCAGCTTTGCCATGTCTTTGTGACTCCGTGAGATATCCTTCAGCTTGAAGGGTCCTAGCGTATTTTTCATAGTACATCATTGGCAATGAAGCAATGGAAATTGGAGCACCTCTTCTCGATTTGAGCAGCTCAATGATCTCTCCTTCTAGTTTCTCAAGTGATCCGGGAGAAACAACATGCTCTTCATCACTTAAGTTGTTTGGATTAAACATCTGAGAGAAACCCTCCCTCTCCGGTATGATCTGCCCGTGGTAGTACCGGCAGTTATTGCCATGTTTGCAGAACCCTTTGTTGAAGTAATGACATATTTTTACTGGAAACTCGGGTAAACTCGGTGATCTCCTACTCGTTCTTAAAGGCAAGCATTGATGATCTCGAGAGAAGAACTCAGGGCTCGTCATAGAATCCTCAAAGTTTAAGAACTGAACAATGTTATGCAACGAATCAATCTCGGTTGAGTTCTCCCAATAACCGGTTCTCAAAGTTGGTGAAACCGAAACTGAGGGAGGCTGGATAGATGAACCAGTGAATGATCCGAAACTAAGAGTAGGAACGTGATCAGAAGGAGGGCTGTTGTAACGAGGATCTTTAGCTAATTCGTATTTCACGCAGTTGATCATGGAATGCATCACAGAATCTGGACAGAAGGCGAGACGGATCATGTCAAGGTCCCCATGGTCTTGCATCAAGAGATAACCGATGATTTTTGATGCATTTTCAGGTTCAAGTTGTTGGATTCTGCTGTGCACAACGTTCATCGATTCTGTGAAATTCATCTCCAATAATATCTGTCTTATCTCAAACTTCTTCAGCAAAGCAAATCATTTACAAATTCATTATTATTCCACAAGTTTTTAGTAAAACACTTATATTGACGGATGAATCAAAAGTAACATAAAGACAAGTTGAGACCAAAAAAAAGGAGAAGAGTGAGACTCACTAAAAACCGCACATGTACTATTGGTACAAAAATTGATTTACGTTGTAAGTCAATGATAACAGACAATGTTACGGATAAAAAACCAAACGAGATTTTGATTAAAAAAAAAAAAAAAACGAGATTAGATCTGAGTCATGCTTATACAGTCAAAACAACATTTGACTCCGAGAAATACAGTTCCCATATTACTTTCAGAATTAGCATTTTTTTTCTTAAATTTGGTGCATTAAATATAAAAGTGGCAAAAGCATACAATAGGATCCTAAAAAATTAGCATTTTAGCATCCACTCTTCTCTTTATTTAAACAACTCAAAAACTGTTCATGTTTATCATAAACCACTAGTATGTTATCCGAGTCTTTCGGGGTTTTGTATATATATATATATTTTGTATATTATTAAGGGAACACCTCAAACATACACAAAAAAAGTAACAAAAATCTTCCATAAAAACAGTCTTTCTTTCAATAATGTAAACTCTATCGAAGAAAAACAACGATTCAGAAAACTAGAAAATGGATTACCTGAAAGCAATAAGGAGAAGCGTTCTTAGCTTAAGATTAACGCTGACGAACAAACCACAAGAATTTGATGTTTAACCTTTTTAATGGATCTGTTCGTCACTTTTCTCGAACATATGTTCATAGACGCATATGCCTGCAGTGTTTCTCTTCGACAATGTGCTTCTGTAAATGAAAATGATTGTGAGAAATAAATGCCTTTAACACAAATCCAAACAGAGTCAATGATCATTGTTCATGTGAGAGAAAAAAAACTTCGAAAAATCGAACATCACTTAATCATAAGTACCAATGCTAATGACAATTGTGGTCAGTGCCGGCGCTGGGACAAACCTGGATTTAAAAAAAAAAAAATGAATAGGTCTGTGCGTGAAGAAAACTCAAAGGCTTAATTGAATAAAACAACTCACATTGTAATTCCATTGTTCAATTAATTATCATAAGAGCGTGAGAACCACAACCGAAAGAGAAGAACAATATATCTTTTAAAAAAGGGTAAACTGAAATGGAAATAGAAAACGTAGAATAAAAACAAATGGGAGATCGTGCAATTTTTTGATTACGTTGAACCTTTCTTTAATCTTTGCAGACTTACAGTAACTGTAAAACGGAATAAGATATCTCAGGGAATCATGGTTTGTAGAGAGAAGAAACGATAAGTCCTAGGTACGTATTAATTTGATTTTTGTAATTTAAACCAATTCTTGTTGCGAGTTGTTTGTCTTTAAAATAAAAACTTCGTTTGACAACTAGTTCCATTCCATATCGTTACAGCAAATATCGGACTTAGTTGGAGGAATAAACCTTGGGATTTTAAGACTTTTAAATAACGTTAAATCACAGTTATGAATTAACCGTAAGATCAGAAACTTTTGGTGGTTTTGACTTTTTGTTATTTCTTTTTTATTAATGGCCGGTCATATTTTTTTTTTGAACTTAATGGCCGGTCATATTTCATGCTTCAGGATTCAACTGCTTTGTATTATATGTACATGTGGCGCGCGTATTGTGTTTTTGGATAAGGATAATGCATATTACCATAGTCGTAAACGTGGCGTATATCCAGTTGATGAACTTAAAGTCCCCACTACGAATATGACCAGGGATTACGATTTACCAATATTTGATATCTCATTATCATAATAACTATTTTTGCCTACAGTTGATTTTTTTTAGGTATTCTTTTGTTTTGCAAATATTTACCCCTATTTACAATCCCATGCCTCTTTAATATTTTTAATCTATGTTTTTAATTAAATTCTCTTTCTTTTTTTTTTTGAAATCTGTATTATTAAAATAGAAAATCTTTTTTTGATATCTCCTTATTTTTTGCTAGATATTACATTTGTGTCATTCTTATATTTATGACTAACAAATTAATTTATTTTCAAATCAGTTATGAGAATTTATGAAGCAATACTAATTTACTTTCTTTTTAAATTTTCAAAATCAATTTAAAACATTTTGGTTTTGCATTTTATACATTGACATTAATTTAGACAATATAACTTCATGTTTTATACATTATTATGCAAACGATTTAATTGATGCCAAACTTAGAAACCATATGGTTTGCATATTATACTTTAGACTATTTAAAAACAATTTTTATCTACTATCAAATATTCTATGTTGCCATATGTATTTAAATAATAATTAATTTTTGAAAAATTTCCTTTGCGAATTTTCAATTGCAAAAATGATCTAAATGGAAGATAAAAATTGTTTAGATATAAGTAAAATTGCAGAAATTGCAAAAATGATATAAATGGAGGACTTCTATGTAAGTCTTCTCAGGTGTTTTCGAGAATTTTTGTATTATAAAAGTAAGCTAATATTTCGAGAATTTTTGAAAGTTTTCCTTTGCGAATTTTCAATTGCAAAAGTGATCTAAATGGAAGATTTACCTGGAAGTCTTCCGCCAGAAGATTTACCTGGAAGTCTTCCGCCAGAAGACTTACATGAACGTCTTTTAAGGGAAGACTTCCAGATAAGTCTTCTACGACAATGTACAATATACTTTCATTTTCATCAAATTTAAAATGAATTCTTAGGATTTTATTGTTAATTCATGTGTTTTGGATAATATTTGGGGTCCCGAATGAAATTTATAGCTTAATTGGTGATAATTATGAGGTTATTAATATTCATATTTTTGATGTTTCTAACTAATCTGAGAAGACTTATTAAGATGTCTTCTCGCAGAAGTCTTCCATGGAAGTCTTCCACATTAGTTTTTGTAAATTTGTATTTTTAAGAATGTTAAGTAATTTAAGATAAGTTTTTAATTTTGAAAAGTGTTAAATAATTTCAAGAAGATTATAATGTGTACATGAAAATGAAGTTGGAAGAGTTAACCTACTTATTACAAAATTTATTGGTTTTACTTCTTACAAGACTTTGTTAGTTTTACTTCTTAGAAGTTAAAAGTGATGAACAACTATTATAAGTTAATGAGAAGAAACTGTTTGTAGTTACAAACTTATATTTTTTGCAGAGTATGAGAGATCCAAAGATGAAAAGAACTATACAGTGAACATCATATTTTGAATTTGAAGACCATTGAAGTTTTTTATTGCATTGATTTGTAAAAATGGAAAACAGATTGTTAGCACATATTATATCTTGAGAAACATCATTACTTATTTTTCAAATATAGAACCATACTTTTATTCTACTCTTGTTTACTTTAACAAGTAATTTTGGATAATAAACAAATTAACCATATTTTTCATTAATATTTCTTCAAATTTACAAAAAAAAAAATCACAACTAAAAAGTACACATACAAGTCACAAAACATACCACAAACAAAACTATTATAAATCATTTCTTTACAGAGACAATTTTGGACTCGACTTGATATGAGTGAAGACGTCAGAAGACTTAAGACTACGTCAGAAGACTTAAGAATACGCCAAAAGACTTCCAAGAAAGTCTTTTGAATGTCTTCTGAAAGTCTTCTGTAAGTTTTTTAATGTCTTACTCAGATCTGAAAAAACTTGAAAAACAAGATAAATTAGTAAGAAAGATATAAGGAAAAAATGAGAAATTGATAGAAAGTTTGGTATTTTCATGTTTAAAGAGATTAAAGAGAAGTTGGAGAATTTTAGTTTGGAAAAAAAAAGAAAAGAGCTTTATGCAACAAGAGATTACTCAATGAAGAAAAATCAGACATGAAAACTTACCAAAACGCTTAGATCTGTTGTGAAAGAGGAGACATGAAAGAAGACTACATCAGAAACTTAAGACTACGTCAGAAGACTTAAAAATACGTCAGAAGACTTAAGACTACGATAGAAGACTTCCAGGAAAGTCTTCCAATATCTGACTCAGATCTGAAAAAACCTGTATATCCAAAAATGTTCAAATGACATCAAAACAGAGAAAAAAAATTTAAAAAATAGTTTTTTTAAACTTAAATAATAACTAAAACAATAACATTATGTTGAATTTATAACTCATTAGAATCTAATATATAAAACACACAAAAATACATATCAAAAATTTATAGATCTACCTTTAAATGATTGAAAGATGACATCTATGTAATGAAAAACCTACAAAAACAAGGTAAAATAGTGAGAAACACATAAAAATGAGAAATTGATATAATGTTTCGTGTTATCAAATTCAAATAGTTTAGAGAGAGGTTAGAGAATTTTAGAGTGAGAAATATTGCATTTTTGTTGTCTCCATTTGTGTAAATTTTTATTTATATAGGAAGACAAAAATTCCAATTAGGTTAAATATTTTTGATACAAAAGACTTATGAAGACTTATATGAAAATATTCCAAGAAGTCTTCTAGACCCGAAATTTACTATTCACACAGAAGACTTATTTTTGAAGACTTACTATTCGTCCAGAAGACTTACTATTCACCCAGAAGACTTATTTTTTGCCCAGTAGAAATACTATTCGCGTAGATGACTTACTTTAGGCGGGAAACCTAAATTCTTTTAAAATTTTAAGCAGGAAACTGTTGTTAAGTCATCCAGAGTCTTCTAGTGCATTATATCTTTGAAACTTTAAGTCTTCTGAAACCCTAAAATCAAATATAGAACTAAATCACATATAAAAACTTTATTAAACTTAAAAATAAACTTATAAAGTGTTTAATATACGCAAAACTAAAAACATATAGGTCAAAATTTAGTTGTTAAGAAAAAAAAATTCCACAATCTAACTTTAAAACACACATACAATACTATAACATAGTTACCAAACCCTAAACCAAAAAAAGATCATGACTAACTTACATTCACTCATCTATGTCAAAAACAATTCAGTTTTATTAAATCAAAATTTATATCACTTACAAAGGTCTATAATTAGATGATTATGATTTTTCCCCTATCAAAATATTTTTTATGAAATTTATGAATTATTTTAAGAACTAATACAATAGAAGATTTTCACTGGAAGACTTAAAGANAAAAAAAGATCATGACTAACTTACATTCACTCATCTATGTCAAAAACAATTCAGTTTTATTAAATCAAAATTTATATCACTTACAAAGGTCTATAATTAGATGATTATGATTTTTCCCCTATCAAAATATTTTTTATGAAATTTATGAATTATTTTAAGAACTAATACAATAGAAGATTTTCACTGGAAGACTTAAAGAAGACTTATTGGAATACTTAATTTTAGGCGGGAAACCTAAATTATTTTAACATTTTAAGCGGGAAAATGATGTTAAGTCATCCAGTAAATTTTCGAGTGGATTATATCTTTAAAACTTTAAGTCTTCCAAAACCCCATAATTAAATATATAACTAAATCACATACAAAAACTTCATTAAATCTAAATTAAACTTATGAAGTGTTTTATCTACACAAAAGTAAACACATATAGCTGAAATGTACTTAAAAAAAAAATTAAGATTCCATAAGATAACCCTAAAAACACATACAATACTACGACATAGTTACCAAACCCTTAACCAAAAAAATATTCTGACTAACTTGCACTCACTTATCTATGATGAAAACAATTCAATTTTATTAAATCTAAATTTCTATCATTTACAAATTTCTATAATTAGATGATTATGATTTTCCCATATCAAAATATTTTAATGAAATTTATAAATTATTTTTAAGATCTACAGCATGAGAAGATTTGTATGGAAGTTTTTTCACTCACAAGGTTATAATAATAAACTACAATCATGTTTTTTTGTTTGGTCATGAGGGACTGTTTGTAACTTCACTAGCTGTTTAAGTTACTTTTGCATTTAATTTAAATTGGAGTCTATGATGCATGGGGACGAGATATGGGTTGACGTCCCCGTACCAAAAACTTCCCGGGGACAGAACCGCCATCAAAACGTTACAAAGACTTCTTGAAGATGGCTTGTTTTGAAATGTTTTTAGTGAAGCTGTTTTCTTTCGTTGTTGTTATGGGAATATTGGGCTTGGGTCCCCTTTACCTAAACTTCAAAATTATAGTTTTTAAGCTATTTCACTTTTATTTTATTCAAAAAAAAAATCAAAGAAATAAAATTTTAACCTAGATGGTTA